GTATCACTCCGCTAACATGGCGTTGCTAAACAACGAGTTTGACAGCTGTAGGAGACGCTCAAGCCATTTGAACATTTTTACTTCTTACTTTGCGCACAAACAGAAAATGGATACTTTTAAGATCACATTTGACCGACAGCTGATTTGGTCAGACTCTGAAGATGAGACTGTGCTAAATTCCGAAACTGTCAGTTGGTCTGTGTAAGGAGCTGGAGAATGAACTGCTGGCTGTGCAGCGAATGAGTGGAGCTCATTACGCTGACGTAGCAACAAGCTGCTTGTTAAGGAACTATAATTTGGCGGAAGGAACTGCTAACATTAAAACATATTAAATGCCATATTCATGGCCCAATTTATTTAACTGTTGTATAAAAGCAGGGCTAATGAGGGCTAATTAGATACTACATTATTGTCAGAATATTTAAGCAATAGAACACTCTAAGTCGTGTGTTATCGCGAATAACATCATGTGTGTGTATATATATATGTATATATGTATATATGTATATATATATATATATATATATATATATTTATATATATATATATATAAATTCAAATATCTATTGTAAATTATACAGCAATAGGCAAACAATATCTTTACATTCTGGTGTGGGAATAGGCACATGAACAGAGAGAGAAAGAGAGTGAGAAAGAGAAAAGGGGTCGCTCAAATCACTTAATTAGGTGTAGAATCTCCTGACAAGGGCCGACTGAATTTAGGGCTGTCTCTCCTTTGCTTTGCGTGCGAGCACAAAGGGCCAGCAGCCATACAGGCACAAAAGAGGCAATGACGGAGCAGATGCCGACATCATCCCATTAAATGAAGCCCACCATTCAGAGAAAGAACAAGGATCACACTCACCCTACACCAGCAACCTGCTAAAAGAGGCTCTTACTCACACTTACACACCAACACACACACATACGAGCAAGACCCTCCTCATTAGCCCCGCTGCTCATGCAGATATGCTCATTAAATAAACCCTCTATTAATTACTGTTTAGAAGTTCAGGAGTTCTAACCACTTCATTGAAGATCGAGAATCATAAGGGCTTGAAGATTCAACCTAGTCTACTATGCAGATGCAAAATGTTATAAATCATCTGTTGGTGCTGTGTTGTGTTCCAGATCCCACAATGGAGCCCTGCACAGCGGGAGGTTTTGTGGGCTTGTCGGCCGCGAATGAGCCTCCAGCAAAGCTGACTGTACCAGCAACACTTCCGACTTGTCAAATGGACGGTAACTAATGGAAGAGCAGGGAGAATGCTGTAGTTTTGCTGTTAGTTATTGTCATTCTGTCTCTGTTCAAGCAAAGACAAATGCAGTGCCTTCTCAGATTACTCTGTCAAAGCTTTTAAAGCAGGGCAAGATTTGAAGAAGGGTAAGCTACCATAAAAAAAAACAAATGACATAGTCCCACACCAGAATGTAAAGATATTGTTTGTTGAGGTGACAGTTTTATTGAGACTATGTGCTATGAGACTATGAGTTTTATTGAGACTATGCGCTCGTAACCACTGGTCCATAGCAAAATTGAACTAGAATCGCAGCTTCTACCCGACTGAATCAGCTCCGCTCGAACTCAGTATTAAGTCTCCATTTTCGGCCACCTCGTTGTGAGATCTGAAGTGGCACCTCTTCTCCATTCTCTCTCTCTATGCACCGCAATAGTAGTATCTTTATCATATCCGTCACTTTTCATTTGCCTGGGCTCTTCGCTGCTCTCTCTGTGTGCCTCTGTTTTCTTTTATGTGAGAGTGGTGGCTGATTCTGCAGATTGATGAGCCGCTCGTGTCGGAGCGGGCCAGTTTGGCAGATTGACGTCAGTGGTGTCTCGCTCGTCTAAGAAGCCAATCAGGGCTTGTTAGGGCCCATTAGGGTGAGATGGGCCTGACACCCTCTTTTGCGTACAGTGTAGGTCAAAACAGTTACGCCATAACAGTCATTAGTTATGCTTGTGCACGTATGCCACAGAATACAGCACAGTGGTCTAAAAGGTTGGGACACCTGTTGGGCTCCGAACCTGTCCATGCTTTCAGCAGGCTCTTCTGTCTCTTCTGAGAGAAGCTCAGGTGTGAGTAGCTGATATGATCATTAAGCAGTCCACACTGGCATATCCAGGTCAGCTCTCATTTTTCTGCTGCTTCTTTGACGTTGTGCTGAGTCTTAAACCTATACGCCTCCTCTTCAAAATGAAAAAGATTCTTTTTTCATAAAGGCAGGGAACACACTGCTAGGGGTGGCTGATATGGCAAATATATATCATTATACTTAACATTTTCACAATACATGAAATGCATCACAATATTTAGTTTTTCTGAGGTTTGATAAATTGGAACGGTAACACTTTACTGAAGGGCAGCACTCATAATTCCATATGGCACATAAGACTTTCATGACCACTGACATAAATCTTTGTAGATATTTATAAATTATTATTCCTACTAGGAATAATAGGAATACCTCATTATTCCTACTAGCATCGTAAAAGTTGTTCAAGTGAAATGACATAAAATGGACAAAAGCAGCCTTTGTTATAACTGATGCTTGTTGGAATAAGCCTTTTAGTTTATGTCAGTCATAAAACCCTATGCAGATGTCATATAACCTTATATGCTGCCCTTCAGTAGTGTTACCACTGGGGTAGACCAAAAGGAACCAGTAACAGTATTTAAGAAATACTATAAAAACCTTGAATAAAGTGTTATTCAACATTCCATAAACTGCATACGAAATCCAGTTAAACAAAACTCTCTTTGTAATAAAACATGCAGTTGGTCACTGTTCTTGAAGTACTGACAACATCATCCACAGTATGCTCAGAAAAGCATTTTGTGACATAATTTATTGTGATAATTTAAACACAGAGTAAGAGAGTAGAGTAGAGTAAGAAACAGGAAAGGCCATGATTCTGTTCCTGAAAAATGCTCTTTTAAATAATGGGATACTACAATATTGTGATGTCTTGTCAAAGAAGGAGATGTGAGAAACAGCGCTTTACACAAATGCTCTTTTACTGAAGACAGCAGCAGGGGAGAACCACTGCCCAGCACCGACTCTGGGTGAGAGTAGATTCTGACTCCACAAATGCACAGCACAGAATGAGGCAAATAACACAGCGGCACTCATAATCTCCATAACAGCTACTTATTTATAGTCTCTCGCTTACCGGGTTCGGCGCCTCCCAAGAGCCCAAGTATGTGGCTGCTCTGCATGGCCATGCCTCACGTGTGTCCATGGCTGAACTAGCCAATAATGGATCGCGACAATACTGTCATATTGGCCATCCCTATGCCCTATATTGTGAAATATATTGACTATAATTGAAAAATGTTATGAACCAGTAAAGACTAGAGTGATTAGATTGACCTTATTTTATTAGTTTCTCAAGCTTTTGGTAGTCCACATCTGAGTGTTTTACCAGTTTGTTAGAAAGCTTATTTAAAAACCTGAGCTACGCCGCTATGTTGATACACTCTCGTGCAGCCATACCACTTCAGTGTCACTGTCACTGCTGCACTGAGAATGATCCACCACCTTAATAATATCTGGTTAGCATTGGTTCTTTGGTGGTCCCTTTCCACTGATGGATGGAGTCAGGGGGCTGACAAATTGAGCAGCAACAGATGGGCTACAGTCAGTAATTGTAAACCTACAGTCCACTTACATGGTAGATGTTTTAAAGAAAGTGGCCAGTGTTCAGTGAGGCTAAATTACACAGATTAAATAGGTTAAACACTGATACTGTAATTTAGTAATGAGGTGTTTAAGATCCAGTGCTTGGATGTCTTTAGAGCTTGTTTGTTGGTGTGTGAACTGCGTATGGACACGCTAGTTAGTTTCATTGCATTTGCCTGTTTATGCTTTCAAATATGTATAATATATTTAGCATTTATTGAAAAAAAAATTGAATAGTTTTTGTTAGGAACTAAACAGTTAAATTTTACAATATTAAAAGGTTTCCATCGCATGTTTTGTAAGTTGCTCTGAATTGGAGCATCTGTTAAATGACAATGTAAATATAAAAGGTGTACTAATTATCTCTCATAAGCATACAATATTTAGCTCAGTAAAATAGACTACACTGATTTTTAATCACTGATAAAGTTGTCAGATTTCTAAAATGATGCTCACAAAACATGCCACTGTCAGAAAAGGTCTTATATCTCAATTTTTGTCTTCTTTTTATACAAATCGTTAAAAAAACACAAAAAACAGCTGCCCTTTCCATAATGTCTAAATTTTGCAATGAATGGAACAACAGAAATGGTCCAAAATAAGTTGGAGAACTTCTGAAAGAAGTTAAGAATGTTTATTTCTTTCTCCTGAAAAGTTAATATTTTGGAGATGGAGGTTTTATTCCGACAGCGATGATATGCAAAACTGCTATGTGAATGTAATCTGAGCTCCCACTCTTCAACTCCTATGGCAAATTTCTCTCAAATTAGCATATGTAGGGTCTAATTTTACATGCTGTCAGGATGATAAAGATTAAAATTAATTAATTCTGTAATTAATTGGCTACGCATAGTAGGGCAGACATCTTGAGGGCATGGTAGGGTAGAGGGAAGGAGTAGGTAAGCGGAGGGCTTGGAGGGTGTGCAGCAGCGACATGTTACTGATACAGCCAGTGCGTGTGCCGTCTGAGGGACGGGCAGTGTTTAAGTGTTCAAATCGTTATCTTTCTCTCTCTCTCTGTACAGATCGTGTGGGCAATCTCGGCTGCTCTGTGGGAGATATGTCAGGGTATTCTGAGGATACGGCGATGAGGAGGAGGAAGAGGAGGCTGAAAGGCAGTGAGAGGATGCACAGCTTGTAAGAAGTGGCCGACATAAACTGTGTCACTTCATTGGAAAACAATAGAGGACAGGACACGGAGCCCGCCCCCCCCCTCCAAGCCACATGGCTTTATTGTCTGCCTCCTCCCTCCCTCTCTCTCCCTCTCTCTCTCACTCTCCTCCCAGCAATGTGAATGAGTGGGGGGTGAAAAGGGGGAGTTTTGGAGGGGGGTCTGGTCATGTTCCCCCTGTCTGCATATGTGTGTGTGTCTGTGTGTGTGTGTGTGTGTGAACGCACAGACGGTTCAGTAGTAATTTGATGTGTGTCCCAGGGGACGTTTGATGGATTAAAGCTAAGCAGCTCCATTGCTGCGTACCACCTGATCTCTCTCCCACTGCCGCCCCATATAAGCCTGCCTGACTGCTGATCTCAGCTAGTCCCTCAGTCTCTCTCTCTCTCTTTCCTCTCTCTGTCTCTTCTCTCTCTCTCTCTCTCCTCTCTGTCTCACTTTCTCTGTCTCTCTGCCTCTCTTTTCCTTTCTCCTAGTGGCCCCCACTGCAGCCCGGGAGCTATCCAGTGCTGAACGAGAGTATTTTTCTTTTCTTTTTTTTTCTTTTTTTTTCTATCCACAACCAGGCAGAGAGAGAGAGAGAGAGTGAGCGTGTGCATGTGCGTGTGATTCGTACAGTAGCGGCACGCACACACAGCATCCCATCATCCGTCGCCTTTCCTCCTCTCGCCTTGCTTTCCATCTCCTTTATCTTCATCCCTGATTCTTTTCATCCCTCTTGCTTTCTTTTCTTTTTTTCCTTTGCTGGGAGGTCAGGTCTTTTTTATTAAGTAACGTACGGATTTACGCTCCTGCTGCTTGTTTTTCTTTTTTTGTTTTTTCCTCCAGGAATCTTTTTTTTCTCATTTTTTTCCCCCTCGTTTTCTGTTCGACGCCCATGCGTAGTGCTTCTCGCGTGTGTGTGCTGACAGTGCGTGAATCATGCCCCGCTCCTTTTTGGTGAAGAAGATCAAGCTGGATGATTTCTCCTCGTCTGCTGTGGTGGCATCCAACCATCATCATCACCATCATCACCATCACCACCTGGACGACGCCTTCACTTTCACCCGTTCCATCACAGACTCTGTAACCAGCCTGGGTGTCCGGCTCAGCGAGAATGGTGAGTGTGCATGCGCTCCATGTCTGTCTGAGAGATGTCTGTCGCTTTATGCAACTACACGCTCAATACCTTCACACTCTGAGCTACAAGTCTCTGCTTGGCCCATTAGAGCAGGAGATTGCAAAGCAAAACCAGGATTGTGATGAATTTTAGGTGTTTTTATACTGAATTACACTACAGGCCTGGAATTATCACCAGATGTTCCGTAAAGCCTGGTGTTTTGTTGTTGTTTCAGGATCCTAAATAATCCTTAAACCCCCTTCGCCTATCCCCCCTTTTCTCTTTCTCTCCCTTTTCTCCTCCTCTCTCCTCCCCTACTCACCCCCCATGGCACCACACTTTTGTGTTTTTTTGACTCGGGTGATGTACACACACAATCCAGGTCACGGAAGCGATCGGCTTATGTAAATAAGGCCATGCGACAGGGGCTGATAGTGGGTTTGTTTCGCATCAGCAGCTAATGCTAGGCTGCTAAGGCTGAAGCCTGTTTCCCTTTGTGGATGGACTCCTCTGGCTGGTGAGTGCCAGCAGCCACTGTTTGGACCAAAAGACTCCCGAGGCATGATTGGATGATGCGTTTGTCCTTAGCTCGTAATGCCCTTGAGTTTCTGCCGCCGTCCAGTACACCCCCCCCTCCCCTGCATGCACATTATCTCTCTTTCTCTCTCTCTCTTTCTCTCGCTCTCTCTTCTCCTCCCCCATCCTTCTTTCTAGCACAACTCCCTCTTGCTCTCTCTCCCTTCCTCTCTGTCTGACGCTCTCTATCTCCTCTGTTGCAACATATGAAACCAAGTAGGGGGGCAGGATTTCAGTCAACGACGCCACAGGACACATTCAAGTACAGTACAGAACAACCGAGTGGGGGGGTGTACAAAGATATAAAAGGGAAGGAAAAATAGGAGAATGCTCGGAGCAGCGTTGAGTATTCATTGTGTACAGCGTACTGTATAAATATACAGTGTACAGCAACACAAAAGGACAAACCCAGTGACACCAAATGACAAATATGGTGACACAAAAGGACAAATAGCATCACAGATGAGTAGGCTGGTCCAGCCAGACACGCTAAGCAGCAGTTAGGGGGGCATCCTGTGGTCCTTGAGCCCTAAACACATGCAAACACACTCGCACATGCACACTCTCTCTGTGGGCAGATTTGGGCAGCAGATGTCTGCTCCCCTCTGTTGTGTTATGATGTTTTTTTCAGAGATAAGCTGATAGAGAGATTTAGGCAGAGCAGAAGAGAGGGAGAGAGAAAAGAAGGAGGAGGAGAGAGGGAGGATGGCTTAAAAGAAAGTGATGCTTTCCCACCTGTTGCAAAACAGCAGACATTTATATGACTCATTGTGTTTGATTTTATGATGGGTTTCAAAATAAAATGGCTTTGCAACCTGTAGAATCCATTATTGCTCACATTTGGTTGAGGAGATATAGACGATACTGTTAAATAAGCCCCTGAATAACAATGAGGTATGACATAAAAGGCCATGTAGGAAAGCTTGACCGTAACTTAATTCCGAGAATGTGTGTGTTTTCATATTAAAAAAAATACAGAAAGAAACGACTGGACCTTGCTCTGTCCCAGTATACAGCACCTATTTTGCTCTCAGTCTCAGTAGTGACTGCTGCGTCAGCACAATCACACACACCTCCGCAAGCTCAGCGGAAACAAAGGAGGCAGCGCAAGCAGGTCCATCAGAAACCTGCTTCCGTCGCCGCAAAAAGAGGGAGACTGTAGAAAGACAGCATAGCGTAGAAGGCATTTCTGGAGTCAAACGGTTGAGAACTCTCACATGACAGTACTGAATTACAGTGAATTTGCCGTCCGTAGAACCTTAGAAACAGACAGATTTTACAAAAGCAAGTAAGGGTTTAGGATTCCAGCATTCCGGTGATGAAAATCACAAACTCATAAGCCAATGGCAAAATGCATTTTGATTTATTTGGCCTCAAAGGCTCTCAGATATTTGGGGGTGTGATTATCCTGTATGTATTACACTGGCAAGAACTGAACAACTTCGTGAAGCAGGTTGTGACTACAAGATTTATTTTAAAATGGGACAAATATGAAAATATTGAGTCCAAGAGGGCACGAGGAATCAGGAGGGAAGGTAGCGAGTGTGGCAGTTTAGAGTCCAGTGCCCCACCCTCTGAGTGTTCGATAGAGCCTGAAAGTGTTGCTTGCTCTGGAGCCCAACAGAAACTTGTGGAATGCTCAACTGTTGCTTAATTCATTGTCAGAAACACATGTTTTTCTCAGTTGTACTTTTTCACATTTTCTGCTAAAAAAATTGCTTTCATGGGCTTCTATAGAACATAGAACTGCATCCAGTTTCATGTTCAAAATGGTCTTGCACAAGAATAGATTCAGACATAAAAACGGTTCATTCTAGTTTTATTATCTCCAGTTTCCTGTACTGTAAATAGAGGCTCGTCAGATCAGTTTTATTCAACCTAAATAAACACTTTGAATGAACCATTCTTTCAATCAGTGTAATTCTTTGAGTTGAATAAAACTAGTTCAATTGCTTGTTACCACATGAAGGAATTTCTTTAAGTAGATATGATGAGCCACTTTACAGTGTGACTGATACAAGGGAAAGTGGAAAGCAATGACATATAGAAATACATCACTGTCCACAACATTCAAATGTGTGTGGAGGTTAAAAGGTTTTATGCATTCCGTTCTTTATCAGGTTGTATAATAAGATGGAAAATATAGCAACTGCAATACTGCATTAGCATATTAGAGGAATATTTGACTATTTTTTTATATGCAGAGGAACTAAAGCACTTCCAGCTCGTCATTGCGGTCATCCTTTGTTGTTCCTCTGCGGACAGCAGAATGCGAATTGCTTCTCGTATGAGGACCCGCTGGAGTGGAGGGCATTAAGAACACTTTAACTGCTTGACTAATGACCCAGGACCCTCCAAGGCCCTTCAGCAAGCTTACCGCAGCAAAATTAGTTGTTTTTTTTTCCCCACCCATATTCCGTCAAGCCCCGCCTGTGGGCAGAGTGATTGTGAGTATGAAGAATTAGCCAGTCTTAGTGCAGGAGGCAGGACACTACTACCCAATCCCAGCGCTAAGGGTGGGATACTGACCAATCCCAGTGCAGGGAGCGGGCTAGTCCGAAGTGTCTCTCTCTTGCTTACTGGTGGATTGTTTTACATCAGATAGGCTATTGATCAGTGCCCAAAAAAACTTTGAATCTCATTACAAAGGCAGTCAATACTTAATTTGCAGCGCTAGCTGCGTTCAGGGCCATGGGATGGTTTTTGCTTTGCACTCGGACACCTTCTTCCGTTCACATTCAGTCTGATAGCGGATTTCTCACATTCTAGTTTTTAATGTAATAGCACTATAGCTGTTATGTTAAAAAGCAGCTGCCACGCTCTTGTCCAGGGACAGATCATAGTTTTGTGAAGGCCACAAGAATCTTTGGAGGCCCTCACATTCCAGCAATAACACTTAAAAAAGGAACTTAAAAGTGAGATTAAACAAGATTATGTTCATGTCCACTTTTAACAACACTGAAAATATGTTTATTTCTTGTTTAAAAGGCAACTAAATTTTAGATTATTAAGGTGAGATATCCTGTTGTGTTTACATTGTAACATTTTTAGTATATAAGATTATGCAGTCATAATGCAAAACAGAAATACTCATACACACAGAAGGCAACAACAAAGTTATGAATAACAAAGAAACAGAAAACCATGCAGTGATCCAGTGTTTATAATAGGTTGAGCTGCTCTTCTCTCTCTTTCTCTCTCTTTTCTCAATGTGCCACAAGGTCAGGAACATATTCAGCAGTGGTAATAGTGCTGAAAAGGTTGCTTTCTGTATTCAAGCTATTGTTTTTTGAAGTGCAATCGGGGCTGCTGACTTCAATCTTTTATTAATTTTCTTTAGGCTCTGAATTCATATGTGCAGGTGTCTGTCTATATTTTAGAAAGAGTTGTTATGAGGATAAGAGTAAGTAAAAGAGTGATAAAGCCTGCTTACAAAGAATGTCACTTTATGATCAGTGTTTCTCCGCAACACTAAGCTATAAACTACGCCATAACACGAGCCTCAACCCTGAATGCTTATGTCAGTATAATGGACAGGAAATTAAGCATACAACCATGCAAGAATTACACTTGCCACACAGACGCACACACTTACCTACAGACGCCCTGAGGTAATCTTATCAAAGAAAGGGACCTAATCAATCAGATTACTTCATCTGAGAGAGAGAAAGAGAGAGAGCAAAATAGAGGTAGCAGGGGGTCTCTGAGCTCCCAATACGGTTAGTCTACTTAATTAGCCATTATCTCTGTGTTAAAACCCTCTGGGTCACCCACCCACTCACTCTCACTCACTCAGTCTTTCTCTCTTTCTCTCTCACACACTGTAAACTAATTTTTATGTCGTAGACCTGTGAAAACACCTTGACTCAAGCAGATGTCTTTCAGAACCAATGCTTTCATGTCTTTTAACGGACTGAGCTGCTTCATATTTCAGTGTGGAAATTATGGAATGATGTGTCCATATGCTACAAAAGCTGGTTAGTCGTGTGTAGACCATACTTGTAATTCGGCAGTAATTTATTATCTGCTGATGTGTAAAAGAGTATAAAACATGGATGTCCTGGTCAGGTTTTATTGCCTCCAGATCCTGAGAAGAGGCATTTAATATTGAGAATCTGCTGATATCGAGCAACACCAATTGTATTTGTATTTTTGTAAATAATATAGCAGCAGTACATGCTTTAAATATATTAAAGTAAGTATACTAATCCAATTTAGGTATGATATGCTAACTATTAAATAGTTCAAGTTTGTCTAGCAAGGGGTATCTGCTCCTTTTTCTTAGCTTTGTACGCACATGCATTCTTACCACTGATTTCAAATTTTATGTGTGGGTTAACCACAAAAGGTGGCGAACTTAACTATGGTAGAAAAATTTTTTTGCACAGTTTTTAACTTGCCTCAAATGTAGTCCATCAGCCAATATGTTTGGATGAACATTTTGCTTCTTTAGTTTAGCCCTGGAGCTACGAGACTAACGTTTCTAATAAACAGTAGAAGTCCATATGAAAACAAACAAAACTTTACCCTGTTGCTGTGGACAGTCATTTTAAACATGCATGCTGAATCCTGAATTCCCCTTCATAAGTATGCACATCACATATTACGTTAGTGATTTGTGTTGTTTCTGTTAACTGTTCTGTTCTGCTAAATGTTAATCTTAAAGCAACACTTGTTGTCTAAAGAGGCTGTCTGGAGCGTTTAGCTACACAGGGAATCTTTGTTCATTTTTATAGTTCACATACTGTGCCCTAAAACACACTGACAAATCTGTGCAACCTTAATGAAGAGCTGGATGTGGTTTGAATTGGGTTCAGAGAAGTTTTGCGAATGTATTTACAGAAGAAATTTGGGTGACTATTGATTTCTAGTGTGTGTTAGCAACATTAGCAACGTAGCTCTAGTGGTAAAGTAAAGAAGCAAAATTTGGACAACAAAGATGTCTTGGCTCATTGACTACATCTGGGGTTAACTGGCTTAACGTAGCCAATAACTCTCCATTAAAATATGCTGTGATTGTCTAAAATACTAATCTTTCATAGTGGCATCTTTAATGTGAAAGTTTTTTTTGTACACATTAAGCCTTACTCCCTGTATCTCTTCCTCTCCATCCAGGCTACATCCAGGACTACATTAGTCCCTCTGCATATCAGAGCGAGAAGAAGCTGGAGCTTAAGTTGGCCTCAGCTGTGTCCGACCCTCTGTACGCTCCGGTCAGCAGTGGTGGTGAGGAGTACTGCGAGCCAGACTTAGAACAGCCCGACAGCCCTCAGTCCGGTCTGACCGCTCGTGGCTACTACAGCGGGGAGGCGGAAAGTCTGAGCGATGGCTACATTACTGCAGAGGGCTTCTTCATCTCAGATGGGCGCTCACGGAGGAAAGGCGAAGGTAAGGAGTCGCGGAAGGGCGTGGCGGATGCCAAGGAGGCTAGCAGTGGAAACCCACGACACGTGTGCAACGAGTGCGGCAAGACATACGCCACATCGTCCAACCTGAGCCGCCATAAGCAGACGCACCGCAGCCTGGACAGCAAAATGGCACGCAAGTGTCCCACCTGCAACAAGGTGTATGTGTCCATGCCTGCGCTGGCCATGCACATCCTGACCCACGACCTCAAGCACAAATGCAGCGTGTGCAGCAAGGCCTTCAGCCGGCCGTGGCTGCTGCAGGGACACATGCGCTCACACACCGGAGAGAAGCCCTTCGCATGCGCCCACTGCGGCAAAGCCTTCGCCGACCGCTCCAACCTGCGGGCCCACATGCAGACGCATTCAGCCTTCAAGCACTACCGCTGCAAGCGATGCGACAAGACCTTCGCGCTTAAGTCCTACCTGAACAAGCACTATGAGTCGGCCTGCTTCAAGGGCTCCGGGGATGAGGACGAGTCCGGATCCGAAAACTGATGAAAGAGAAATCTGAACCTTCATCTCGTTAAATTTGTCAGGAAGAGTCAGGAGACTGAGTCTTGTTTATTCTCGCACGTCTCCCCTGTTCGACTCCAGAAGCTTTTCACAGACCCCTTCTCCTGCACACAAACACTCATACACACTAAAATGCATTGAATGCATTGAATTTGCTTGATTCAAATGTGTACATTATGTCCTCAGTATGCCAGAGAAAATTCAATGATAGGTTAATGGTACTGGCAGTAGACTGGTACTGTGACTGTTAGAGCTAGGCCTTCAGTTCTGTCTGATAAATGTCAAAACGAGGGAAAAACCCACCTTAACGATAACGTTAGCGTCCCTATGGGATTCTAGTAGTATGTTAGTGCTAAACTTAAGCTAAGTAATGCACATGAACATTTTTGGCAGTTATAGAGTAAACATTTGAAGCTTGGGAAAGACATTCCATGTATTATTTGAAGCTCAAAACAAACATATGAGCATATAATTAACTTGTATGTAGCAATTTTACAGTGACGTAATAGCTGTTTTCCATTTCTAGCAACTAACTGAAACCTGGTTAACAAACTAAACTAGTCTGTATTCACAAATCATTGACATGTCTAGGACTTCCAGAAGGTCTAGAAGGATGTTTTATCTCACAAAACTGGTCCCACCCATTGTAAATCGAAACACGATTGGCTGATTCCTAACTTCTTAATTATGCTAGTGGTTAATCTAACATGTAAGGCCTTCAGTACAGCTCCTGAAGTCCTATCCAATGAAAGACAACACTTAGCTGTATCTACCGAGATACCATGAAAAAAGGAACTGATTAGAGTATCCATTTGATGTTTCAAGAATTTAATCCTTTTGTTTCCAACCAAAACTTAACAATGAAATAACAATAGTAGTGTAATACTTATAGAATTTAAATACAAGCATTATTTTATTTAATAAAAATGAATTGCAGACATATTTTGTAGTTTCTATAAATAATTGTCATTAATCATTATGAATGCCCCAAGGGTTCCCTGTTGTGTTTATCATCAGTTATTATTATCGACTCAGAAATTCTATTTCGCCTCTATTTATTACATCAAAACTATGTTTGCCAAAAGCAAACAAACTAAAAGACAACCGTGTTGATGTAATTTATTTTATTAATGTGGAAACAATGTACACATTTTAATCGAGTCAGTTCAGTGCATAACATTTTTGGTGCACAACAGAAAATTTGCACCTTCATCTTCTCTGTTATGCTCCAGACTTCCTTTAATAATCCCATCGTCTGTGCACACATGAGAGAGCGCACGAGGAGGAAAAAGAAATCCGTTCCACTTTTCCGAGGAAAGAAAACGTTCGTCTTCTCTTTTCAACTTCTGAGGCCCTTCACTTACCCCTTCCTCTTCACGCACACACATACACACACACACATGCACACACACAAATAAATGCGCCTTGTCCCTCTTCCTCCCTTTTTTTAGAAAGCAATATTTTCACTGAGATTAACTTTGGGGAAAACAAGGAAAACAATAATGACCAGACAAATAATGAATAGATGCTGGATTTTTTTTCTTCACGACGATTGCTAACTGTCCACAGATACACACCAACATACTTTAAGACTCTCTCTCTCACACAAACACACACACATACACTTATTATGAGGCCTGGCATGTGAATTTTTAGCAGTGACTATAACAATATTAATAATGATAGTAATAATATTTAGATTCCTGATATTTTATAGCAAATCATATGAAAACGAAAAAAAAGGACAACAACAGTGTTCCTTCTTCTTTTTTTTAGAAACAAACAAACAAAAAAATGACCTCATGTATTTTTATGCTGCTTTTTTGTTGTGCTAAGAGTTGAATTCTTTTGCAACTGCCAATTTCAACTTTTATGACAATGTCAACAATGACAGTATTTGCAAAAAAATCGAAAGGCCACTGAAAACGTGAAAGTGTTTTTTCTCTTAAACGTCACACTTTAATATTTTAATTCTACAAGTGTTATTTTTATATTGCAAGTCCAAATTCTAGCAGTTTATTTATTGTCTGTTGTTTTTTTTTGTTTGTTTTGTTTTTGTGCCAATCATCCCCTGATAACTTATCAAAAAGCAATCTTCTGGAAATGAGACTATGGTGGACTTTCTTAAGAGCATGGTCTTTGCTTCAGTATTAGTCTCACCAGGAGTTACGCCAAAACAAATATGAAGGACAAATGAAGATGAATAAGACAAACGGAACTCAAAGACACTTCTGGTTTAAAACCTGTTGCTCTCGTCTCAGTCCTGTTTGACAGGATGCAATATCTCAGTAAACGAAATGCTCTCACGGTAACACAAGGACTCTAATGAGGACATTTAGCCGAATTCAAAGAAGAGTGATGCAACTAAAGCAATCTCCATCCATGATACAGGTCTTCCTCCGCCAGTTTGGCTTAAAGCAGACTCTTCAAGTGTTCCGTCCATCTGGAGATACTTCCCTCCCTACTTCCTCTCCAACGATTACCTCACCCAGAGGCAGGTATGACCTCTGACACCCTCCGTCTCCAAGTCACCCCGTCCATCCTTCATCTCCGCCAAAACAGCAACCTCATCTCTTACCATCTCAGTATTGTTTTATTTATGTATTTATTCATGTACTATTTATTCTTTTATTTAATTATTTATTATTTTTGTCTTATTTATTTATTTATTTAATGTATTTAACTTATTCATCTGTGTATTTTGAATACTGAATACCACCATTGACCTTGTAAGATGCTGCTCTTGAAAGAAAAATGTTTATATGCATGAAAAAAACAACTGTAGAAAAAGTCCGTAGGACTTCTAGCGTTTTTGAAGAGGAACAATGTACAGCATTTGAGACGTCTGGAATGCCGACAAATACTTTGTTTCACAGGCAATAATTCTTCCTTGGCATGGCAACGGACTTGTATAATCATAGCTGTCCTGTCTGCAGATCACTTAGGGCAATAAATGAAACCGCCTGAACACAAAACACAAAGTCATTCTCCATCTCGTTGTCGTCATTTTAATTTGAGATAAATGAGCTTTGGGTTGGGGAAGATGATCCTTTAATGACGCCAGAGCCCATAATGAACACTGTTAGTAATTATGGAAGTTACATTATGTTCATAAAACATGACTCATTTCATGTCCATTGTTCAAATGGATTGTCACCATGAAATCTCAGTTCTAGCATTAAAACAGTGGAAGTGTTACTATTCTGCTGAGAACGCCATGCAGTATCTCAGTGTTCTTCAACCTGATCTCTGTCTGCTGCATCTGTGACATATAGTTGATTACCAGCACCAGGGCAGCCGTTCTGGATGGGCATGACAAATTCGTGGGTTGGCCAAATCTCAAATTATAATCATAACTGAGGCGTTCGCTAAGTTTCGTTCAAACACTGCAGTATGAAAAAAACATTGCTATACTACTCGACCAGAACACAATAATAAAACTCATAAAAATACTTCTTCTATCTCGTACTTGCACACAAGAGCAATAATGACCAATATTATTATGCTGGAGATTAATGAGCTGGTTGAGCCATGACCCTCTGTAGTTAGTGCATTTATCTAATACTAAATGGTGTGCTTGACTGCTTTTGTGCTCAAAACAAGCCATGTCCATCCGCTTCCAGTCCTTAAATCAATGTAACAGTCCTCCCTTCATTTATCTCTGAAATGCTGACAGCATCACTGATACTGCAGGACTCTATAAGCTTATAATTTCTGTACCAGCATTATGAGATGCTCCTTGATTCAGCACAAAAAATAGCTCTTAGTCTGACTAACTATAACTGTGTGTGATGGCTCAGGAGGGAGTGCTGCTTTTCAAACTCTAACAGTTGTGGTTACTGGTTAACCCCTTAAAACCTCAGGCTTATTATTCAGTAACTACAGGGACTTCAATACAAACTGGTTGAACTATTCTTAGGTAATAGAATGTGTAAAAAAAAACTAAACCCCTTAAATGGCCGGCAGGCCCTGGACTGTTTTAGCACCTGCTCATTGGCTTCTATTCTAATTGAGTTTCAAGTCAGTTGGTTAGGAAATGGTAGAATTGTCTGTGCTAATCAGAGATGTCAAGTCTCGAGTCCCTGAGTGAGTCAAGTCTCGAGTAGAGAATTTAGTTTAGTCTTGCTGTTATCTGCAGCCACTGCACTGAATGAAAGTAAACTCCTACTAGAATCCTGTCAGCTAACACAGCTTCAAAGTTTGTCACTGAAAAACCTTTAGACTGAAGGACAGAAACTACGTGCTACAGGCAGTGAACATGGTGTTTAAATGAAGAAGGCAAAATAACTTGAAACGGCTGGTTAGTTGATAGTTTGCATAACGACTATGTAAGCTAGCTTGCTAGCATAATCGCTAATCCAGCTGAAGTTTTAGAAACTTTTACCAATTTCGGCTAGATTAGCTGTTGTGCTAGATATATGATTGTTATCCAGACTATGGTAGCTAACGTTTGAAGTTGCCTTGCATCCTTCTAGAACACAGCTTTTGCTGCACATAGTGTGTCATTCGGTCCATCAGACTGAAGTTTTTTTTTTTTTTTAATAATGAAAGGCTTGTTATTTAAAGATGTATTGAAGTTGATGCCACTGTGATCTGCTGGAGATCGGCATTACAGTAATGATGCATTAGCGCCGCAAACTGTCAGGCTAAGTTACGCAAGGTTGGAAATGAAATTCTTTATTCACTAACCACATCAAAGTTGGCAACCCTAATTTAGTCGGTTTTGTTCAGGTTCAGTCTGAAATTTCAGAAGTCTTAAATCTTAAGTCTCCAGTCTGAGTTGGGTTATGAGTTATGTGAGTCAAGTGAGTCGTTTAAGAGTCCCGATCTCTGGGGATAATTGGCTGTATGTTACAGATATGGTAGATAAAACCAGGTTGAAAAATGCTGGATTCCTTTAACTTGATGTATGAGCTGCTAATCTCCCTATCTGATACTAATAGTAGTACGTATTACTCTGAACACCTCTGAACAAGCTAATTTACATGTTAGGGGAGAGCAGAATACATCCTATCAGAGAACAAACATATTTGAGAAGAAAAAATCATCCCCATGCTAATGCAGAAAATAGAGCCCACTGCCACGAAATGCATTTAATGCCTTTAATAATGTGGATGGCCCCCAAGCACTGTGTACAAGATTAAAGGATAAATAGGCCCCGCTATAGGCACATGATGACGATCATTTTCAGTTGTGTGCGTATATCATCATTTACCCCGTTGCGCGTCCTCTCCCTTTGATGTCAGGGTGCTGAAAATGAGCAACAAAACAACATGGATTATCAGGATTACCATCATCCATGGCAAATTTAGGCTACATTCAGGCACTTTTATCTGCGCCGCAGACGGAACGGAAGATCAGAAGCGTTCTCTAAATGAAGTGGAC